TATTATTATTATTATTATTATTATTATTATTATTATTATTATTATTGTGGTGCTCAGTTGCCGACTGACGTTAAACCATGACAGATGCACACACTTCTAAACAGACTTGGTTAGATTTTAGCGCTGAGTGAATCCATCGAAAGAAAGAAAGCGCCAATCTTTGCACCAAATCCAATTGTATTGTCCCACATCACTTCCTGGGATGTGGTTTTAATTGCATGCATCTTCAAGGTTTTCTTCTGGTCCACAATCAAAAAAGAAACATCTACATCAAATTCAGGTATTCTTCCCTCATAACCCTTTCAATCAAGACAGAAGCAAGGAAGATAAGAAAGAAAGTACGGGGTAATATTTTCCACAAAAATAACTAGCAGCCAGGACAGAAATGTATGCATTGATGATTCACCAGCATACACAAACTACTGGAGACCGATCTGAACTCACACTCGAAATCGTATGTGTTGTGCAATTCCTCATGAAGTCATATGGGCAAATTCTCTCAGCGAAGCCATGTCTTGTATAGATGTGGCAGAAAAACTCTGTCCCAGCAGAGATGGAAACTACAGATCCTTAGCGTGGAACTACAAACTCCTAAAGAGTGCAAGGACTGTTGTATGCTTCTCTTGTTCTTACATCCTTTTTCTTAATAACCATTTCTGGTCAAAATAAGGGAAAGAATACTAGTCTGAGTGGACTTTTGTCTTTCCCAAAGCATCCAAACACATGCCCTTAATACTGACCTTTAAGAATAAGTACTTAAGTTCTGTTGCAGACCCATAAAGACCAAGGCTGGAAGTAAATCTATGTCACTAGGAAGCTTTCTTTATAGCTACAGCAAAAAAATATGTAACCAGATAATCCCTCACCTGTGACGACAATCTTGAAGGTCAGTTTCTGGCCAGCAGCCTCGCAGGTGTACTCCCCAGCATCTTTCTTCTCTACCTGGCCCACCACCAGACAACGCGATTTGCCCTCCGACTCCACCTTGAACTTCTTGCTCGAGGTGATCAGTTTCCCCTCCTTGTACCATTTCACATCGGTCTTCTCCTGGGCCACCTCGCAGCTCAGCGTGGCGTTTTCTGATAGTGCAGCTTTCATCTCTTTCTGCACCTTCTCCTTGTTTGTAAACACAACTTCTGGCTCTGAAAAGAGAGAGAATTTCAGAGTGCCTCCAAGATACTCTAATAGTTTGAACACAACCGCATGAGTAAACCAGCGGAATTTAAATACTGGCTCCATCACTGCCTGCTGAAATGGAATTTGCCAAGCCACGTAATTTTTCTCTCCTTCAATTTTTTCAGGATGTAAAACAGAGATGCAGCAAACTCACTCACCTGTGACATCAATCTTGAAGGTCAGTTTCTGGCCAGCAGCCTCGCAGGTGTACTCCCCAGCATCTTTCTTCTCCACCTGGCCCACCACCAGACAACGCGATTTGCCCTCCGACTCCACCTTGAACTTCTTGCTCGAGGTGATCAGTTTCCCCTCCTTGTACCATTTCACATCGGTCTTCTCCTGGGCCACCTCGCAGCTCAGCGTGGCGTTTTCTGATAGTGCAGCTTTCACCTCTTTCTGCACCTTCTCCTTGTTCATAAATGCATCCTCTGCTTCTGTGGGGTGGAAGAAGCAGTTTAAAAATCACACGTATGTTCATGCTGTCCACAATGTTCACAACCACATGCAAAATCCTGCTTACAAGACCTTCCCGCAGCTCTGTCATTTTGGAATGGTCCCACTCACAGCTAAGATACACTCAGGCAAGGCATGGCCCTCTGTGCACCCTGAGGACAACACATCAGCCATTTCTGAGCAAAATGAACCAATGCCCCAGGAGTTAAGCTTCCTCCCATCCCCATGGATCCACAGGAAATCTGGCTTTTTGTTCCTCAGTGCAATGCACAAATAAGCACCCAATCTCATCCGCCACTGGGACTCCAGTGTAAGCCTTGCCCACTCTAGGTACTGCTTGAGCATGATTCCAGACCTATTTTCTTACACATCTGGGAGCTGGCCCTACCTTTATCCCTATAAAGCACAACAGCATATGTAAACTCGTTTAATTTTCTTTACTCTAAAATTAGCAAACAACAAGGACTGCTGAGTGGGATTCATCTCCCGGATGAAGACATCTAGCTACAGGCATCTGTGTGACAGTGGATGAACACAAGCTGGTAGCCTGATCTCCCTCACTACTCAATGAACATCTAGGCCAAACAGACCCTGGAGCCCAGAGAGTGATTAATTTTGCTCTGTAGTAAAGGGAAGTCACGGACCACTCTGTGATGAGAGCCAACACATCTCCCACCTGTGACGACAAGCTTGAAGGTCAGTTTCTGGCCAGCAGCCTCGCAGGTGTACTCCCCAGCATCTTTCTTCTCCACCTGGCCCACCACCAGACGACGCGATTTGCCCTCCGACTCCACCTTGAACTTCTTGCTCGAGGTGATCAGTTTCCCCTCCTTGTACCATTTCACATCGGTCTTCTCCTGGGCCACCTCGCAGCTCAGCGTGGCGTTTTCTGATAGTGCAGCTTTCACCTCTTTCTGCACCTTCTCTTTGTTGACAAATGCATCTTCTGCCTCTGAAATAGGGAAACATCAGGGAAAAAAATACTGAAGATATAAATAGCTTGTGACAAGAAGACATCACGTCTAAAGCTATTGGTAGAACATGCAGACTGCTTTCTGGTGAGTTTCTGTGTTTTGTTTTGGGTTCTGAGTGCAGACGTTGGGCAGACACCCTACCACTCTCCACCACGACTCTGCTCTGAAATGCACTGACAATCAGCTGCGTCACAAAGTTGTTCTGGTTGCACCAACTTCTTGGGATGGAGAGGTGCAATCAGTACTTTCCTCTTCACGGTCTGTTTCTACAGAGGTGGGTGGCTCCCAAAGTTTTTTCAGGGATGGAGCTCCCTGTCTTACAGATTCTATACTGTTTTACATGGAAGATACATAATAATATTCATTTTTCTAAATATTCCCGAAATAGGAAGGCTGGGCCAAAGAATCTTCTCTCACCTGTGATGTCAAGCTTGAAGGCTGGAAGTAAGTCTATGCCACTAGGAAACTTTCCTTACAGCTACAGCAAAAAAAAATATGTAACCAGATAATCCCTCACCTGTGACGTCAAGCTTGAAGGTCAGTTTCTGGCCAGCAGCCTCGCAGGTGTACTCCCCAGCATCTTTCTTCTCCACCTGGCCCACCACCAGACGACGCGATTTGCCCTCCGACTCCACCTTGAACTTCTTGCTCGAGGTGATCAGTTTCCCCTCCTTGTACCATTTCACATCGGTCTTCTCCTGGGCCACCTCGCAGCTCAGCGTGGCGTTTTCTGATAGTGCAGCTTTCATCTCTTTCTGCACCTTCTCCTTGTTTGTAAACACAACTTCTGGCTCTGAAAAGAGAGAGAATTTCAGAGTGCCTCCAAGATACGATGTTGCGCGATCCCCTTATCACGGCTTACAGGTAACACTGGAAACCAAGCCTCTGACTTGACAACACACATCTAAAGCTATTGGTAGAACATGCAGACTGCTTTCTGGTGAGTTTCTGTGTTTTGTTTTGGGTTCCGAGTGCAGACGTTGCGCAGACACCCTACCACTCTCCACCACGACTCTGCTCTGAAATGCACTGACAATCAGCTGCGTCACAAAGTTGTTCTGGTTGCACCAACTTCTTGGGATGGAGAGGTGCAATCAGTACTTTCCTCTTCACGGTCTGTTTCTACAGAGGTGGGTGGCTCCCAAAGTTTTTTCAGGGATGGAGCTCCCTGTCTTACAGATTCTATACTGTTTTACATGGAAGATACATAATAATATTCATTTTTCTAAATATTCCCGAAATAGGAAGGCTGGGCCAAAGAATCTTCTCTCACCTGTGATGTCAAGCTTGAAGGCTGGAAGTAAGTCTATGCCACTAGGAAACTTTCCTTACAGCTACAGCAAAAAAAAATATGTAACCAGATAATCCCTCACCTGTGACGTCAAGCTTGAAGGTCAGTTTCTGGCCAGCAGCCTCGCAGGTGTACTCCCCAGCATCTTTCTTCTCCACCTGGCCCACCACCAGACGACGCGATTTGCCCTCCGACTCCACCTTGAACTTCTTGCTCGAGGTGATCAGTTTCCCCTCCTTGTACCATTTCACATCGGTCTTCTCCTGGGCCACCTCGCAGCTCAGCGTGGCGTTTTCTGATAGTGCAGCTTTCACCTCTTTCTGCACCTTCTCCTTGTTGACAAATGCATCTTCTGCCTCTGAAATAGGGAAACATCAGGGAAAAAAATACTGAAGATATAAATAGCTTGTGACAAGAAGACATTACATGTATTTTGTGTAGGTGCTCTACAGGATCATTTCCTCTAAGTACCATTGCTTTGCTGTTCTTTTTATCACATAGAGCAGTGCACCCTCAAAACATAGTCCATGTAATTATCATACCTCTCTGACTAGTCTTCACGAACAGCTCAACTGCCTCATTTTCAAATTTCTTATAATGAAGACAAAAACAAATTTCCCCCTTTGTGTCTTTATGATATTTCTACACCCCACATTTGGAACTAACCAAATATAACACAATTATGAGTTGCCACCTTCACTATCACATTATTTACAGGAATTTACCAGCATCTCGGTATTTGAGGTTAAGACTGGGTGCTGTTCAGAAAATATCTTGTAACTCGATCCCAAAGAAATGACAAAGATACAGTTCTTAATATGGAAAAGTACTTGGCCTACATTATACATAAAACTGGCCTATAAAATTTGAAGTACACTTTTCTTTCCTCAGAAATCTCAAATTTTTCGGAAAACTGGCCATAGGGAATCTTCTCTTAATACTTAACACAAGCAACAAGAATGAACTGTTTAAAATAACTTTCTTCCACAGAACCACTTAGAACGTCCATCTCAACAAGTGGAGTTGGCATCAAAAGGATATCGTGTGCGATCAGTAGTTAGTTAGGCGTATGCATTGAAAAGATTCAATTGTCACCTTGCTAAGTAGGACTGACTGATAAATTGCACCTTTTACCTATTTCTTTAATGATTGTTTTACCTGGTTGTCCTTTACCAACAATTGGTGTGGTCACTGTTAGCTTTTATATTAGTGTACATTTGAGATGTGGGAGGACAAATAGACCCTAAATAAATGGGCTGCCACATTTTTTTTTTCCCACTGATTTACCCTAAGAAATAACTGCACAAGAAGTGTAAAATGTTTCTGGTATGCCTACATGATGGACATCACAATTCAACAACCGTCCAGCATTTAGCATAGGCGGCCTATGCCTATTTGGGTCTGAGGTATGTACTTGAGCGTTGAAGTCCATGATTTCACTGATACAGGAGCACAAGCTCCAAAGATAGATGCTGGACTAGCGAGTGTATGGGGTTGCCATTGCCCTTCGGTTGCAGTGCAAGCATGGAAGATAATTCATCCACTCAGCTTCGGGTTACCTGGTCAAGGTTACCTGGCAGGCTCTTGGTTCTCCCTGGCAGTCATGGTGAACCCCTTCTGTAACCTGTGCTACTGCCTTCCTCCCCCCAGACACTCTCTGCAGCCTCCTAGTGCCATCCTTTACTCCCCCTTGATGACTTTCTCCTCTGCATACAGTTTCTGTCATGTCTGTACTCTGAGTGGCAGCAGCTGCCTGGGAGGGGAAGGAGCAGGGGTAAGTTGAGGTCAGGGTCCGACACTGCTGACCGTGGCACTACACGCCATCCTGGGAGCCACATCGTAGGCTTGCCATCAATTTTGCACAGTCCGTGGAAAGAGAGGGGTCCTGCAGGGAGCCAGCCGAAGCAGGAACCCAGCTTACATGCTTTAAATTTGAGCTCCTCTGTTTATATTGGCTGTAGAAGGGGTGTAAGGAGGTGTCATTATCATTAAGGTGTCATTAACAAGGCAGCGTACATGGCCTGGGCGATGCAAAACTCCTCAAAGGCACACGTCAGCCCACTGCAGATTAAGCAGCATTTTGATATCTAAAAGAGCTCGAGCACACACCATGGTTTGCATTCAAAACTGGTTGCAAAAATGTAAACATTTCAACTTCCAGCTACAACTTGGACTGTGAATATGCAGGGTGCACTAAACAAATGAGTTACAAACCGGTCTGTGTCAATGGGTGCTGTATTTAAAATGTCAAGTTAGCAGGGCAGGAATATTCCAGGTGGGTTACTCACTTGTCCTCTGCATTCTTGCCCTTTAATATAAACCATTTTTATAGTGATAGGAAATGTGGCTAAAACTTTTAGTCAGCTTACAAAGTGATTTACATGAGCCAGTAATTTGCCTTAGAAACTTATTTTAAAGTTAAAGAAGTATTCAGTGCAGATGACACTTTCAACCTCAGCTGAAACTGGTTAGTGAAGTTCCACTGGAACTGAAGAAAGCCATTTTCAGGACATGCAGCTTTCGCCAACTTCAAATAAGGATTTCACTGCATACCATGAATCTTGAAATAATGAGATTTCAGAATCGGCTCTTTTGGCTACACGTCTAGCCCAGTCCCAAGGTGTGCAGCACCTGCTTCTTTTTATATTAAGCCAGAAAGCTACAGCTGCATCCCAATACTCAACACTGAGCATCTAACCTTCAAGCTGTCCTTAAATAGGGAAGGTTTTGTGCTACCAGTGGAGCCCTGGAGCACAGGAACCCTGAAAAGCTTTCTGAGTGCAATGGTAACAGGATAAATTAAGACCCAGAAAGCCACTGCACTTTGGGATAGTCTAGTAAGATGAGGATTTCTGCAGCAAAAGAGCCAACCACTCAGAGTACTCATAATCCCTCCTGACTTTCACACTAGATTGTTTTCCAGTGAGTGCTGGACTTGCATGTCATGTTACAGTTGTACACATGAGAAATACAGCAACGGTAGCTAGGCAAGCACTCTCCACTTACAACAGAGGGGGAAAGGTGTTACATTACCCTGCGCAGCCGTGAAGTCATCCGGTGTGAAAGAGCACTGAAAACCTTTGGTTTCTGAGGCAGACAGCTAAGAATAGTCCTCAGCTAGAGAATTCAAGTGTAAAAATCACTAAATTTGTGTGTTTTCTGACTACGCCTCTGCAGTAATGTATGAACTGGTTTCAGCAGCTGAGCATCAACTTGGTTTATACCAATGGTCTTTCTATCAATGTCCATGTTGCATTTTCTCCAAAAGATGCCTCTCAGATCTAGCCTTACCGTAATCCATCCTTCACTGAAACTGGCAGTTCCCTGAGGCAAAAGGATGAGCTACACAATTCGTTGAAAAAGAGCCAAAATGCCCCAACTCACGCCCTGCGTATGCCACGCAGAGTGGAGACACATAACAGCTGATGGCTTACAATATATGCTGCGGGGAGCAGCAAAGCTTTATGCTATAGCAGCAGTTGCGCATTGCACATAGAAGATGGAGGGAGCAGAATGCCCCAAGACAGCGGGAGAGCAGTAAAGACTGCAACCATTACAAGGGAGCAGCACTCGAGCTATGCCCTGCAAGGACTTCAGGTCTCCAGCACGGCTGCAAGCAGGAAAGTCAATAGACTCCCAACGCAGTTGCTCTTCTACATAGCTGATGAAATGCCAGACCTCTGCCAGCATCATGGTCCCAATGTGTTTGATGCCGTAAGAAAGCAGAGGAGAAAATATATTCCCTGTTCTGATCAGCTCAGAATATGAGACAAGAACTGTAACACCAGAGAGGCGTTTGACTGCAAAGACAGTGGAGTGTTATGAATATGAACAAAACAAACCCAAACCCTTCCTTATCATCCAATTCAGAAATGGTTACTCAGAATGTAGCTGACATATCCATGGCTGCCCGGAGCCTGAGATAAAATTTACTGGACCTCTTGCAAAATATACTGAGACCAAAGAAATCTCTAGTGTAGTCAGAGTGAAAGAACAGCCTCAGTATTAAATCCTCAGACTCCAAATCATGTTGTTAAAGGAGAAAAATGCAAATACAAATAAACATTCCTGGACTCATGACTGGTCATTACAGAGGTAGAAATCTCAATGAACAGTCGTCACCTTTGGATTCAGCACATCGCAGATATGTGCAATGCAGCTGCTACAAAATTTTTAGGACAATACACTACCATCAACTCCCAAACATTCTCAATGCAGGCACAATAAAGTAGGGATCTTGCAAACACTACTGTTTAAATATCACTTGGTAGACAAGTATTTGCACCACTTCTCATAGCTTTACAAATCACAGTCGGGTACCCAATGACAGATGAAAGAAGTGGTAGGGGAAGAGCTGAAAGAAATGTTGCTAAATACAAATCATAATTCCAGTTGCACATATCTATATCCATTTCTGTTCATCATCCACAAAAGTTTCATGGTGCATGGAGTTTTGAGGCTGTGCTCACATATGGTTTTGCACAGCCAGACTGGGGAATAATTGAAGAAATTCTCTGTTTTGGGAGAGAGGACATTGTGTAGAGTAAAGATGAAACAAAGAGAGAAGGAAACAGTGACTTTCATGGATGAATAGCAATAACAAGAGGAGGAATACCAATACTGATGATCAAATTGGAAGAGGTTCTTTAGCACAATGCCTGCTAACGAAAACTCTTGATTCACTATCTGAGCCTAAAGGAGTTGAGGAGCTGATATTGCTATACCTACACATAACCCGTAGATCTGCCCAGTCCTACACAACCTCACTTAAATGGTAGCTTAGACCAATGTCAGAAAGTATTTAACAGCATTTCTAATATTTTGACAGAGAAAAAAGGAGAAAAAACCCAAACACAAAGAAAAGGCAATGAAATATGTCTCCCACCTGTGACGACAATCTTGAAGGTCAGTTTCTGGCCAGCAGCCTCGCAGGTGTACTCCCCAGCATCTTTCTTCTCCACCTGGCCTACCACCAGACGACGCGATTTGCCCTCCGACTCCACCTTGAACTTCTTGCTCGAGGTGATCAGTTTTCCCTCCTTGTACCATTTCACATCGGTCTTCTCCTGGGCCACCTCGCAGCTCAGCGTGGTGTTTTGTGTCAGTACAGCCTTCACCTCCTTTTGTACCTTGTCCTTGTTTGTAAACACGTCTTCTGTCTCTGTAAGAAAGCCACAATAGTCACACATAGCTTTTTGCAGTTGTCTTCTCCAGTGCTTAATCAAGTTCCCCCTATTTCACTACACTTGACCAGTAGTATCATGACAGCTCATTAAGACAAGAAGACACCTTCATCTCTATTTTGCTGACAGGAGGTGAATAGGGGTATGGGAATTCTGGGATAAAGTTTAAAAACTGAATTTGAGTACAGATTTGAACCTGGGACTCGGAGCATCAATGTGCACAGCCTGAACCCTCCTCCCTCTTCTTTATTTTTCTCTTCCTATGTCTCTCCAAGCTTCCAGTGAATCCAAAGGGAACAGTCCTCGTATCCTCATAACCAGGAACCATTGCTCTTTTTCTGCCTGTTTGGGTCACTCAAATTCAGTCATTCTCCATCTAATCAGAGCTCTTCAAACACCTCCCCCTTCCCTTTTATCTGTCCCTGCACCTCTGTTATGGCCTCGCACTGTGATTCTGCAGGAGTTTTTCTGCAGACACACCAGCTAATTGTGAGAGGTGCAGAAGTGATCATCCTTGCCCACCATTTTTTTGCGGTTACTACTAGTCACGGATACAAAAGTGTGTGTATAAAATGTTGATATGACAAGTGGCTGAAAATCAAGCCCTATGGCTGAAATATTTCACCCCAGAGAGGTTGCAAAATGATCATCCTAATGTAAGATACTACCCAAAATGGAATATTCCTTTAACTTTGGCATTTCTAGCATTTTCTCACCTCTGACTTTGACTTGGAATGTTGTTCTGTCATCCTTTGTTTCACAGGTATAGCTCCCTTGGTCTTGCTGTGTCACCTTCTTGATGATGAGCTTGCGATGTGTCCCCTGGGAGATGACTGTTGTCCTCTGGTCCTGCTTCACCTCAGTTTGATCCTTCTTCCATACCACGGCTCCGCTGGCAGCTGACACCTCACACACCAGCTCAAGGTTTTCAGAAGGACTGACTGATATTTCTGGAGTTGTTTTGGGCTTGTTGACAAAATTAACAGCTTCATCTGAAAAGAAAAAGAGAAAGCAGTTTATGCCTTGATCCAGGCTTATCAGCACAATGGTAAGATACAGTAATGACTGGTCGTTATTTCATTGCCAGTCACGCTTGGGTGATCAAGTTTCACCTCTGGAGGTCTAAATGTACATGTGTGTGCATGGTAGTATTGCAATGTAACTATGACAGAGTGTTAACAGTTACGGCAATAAACTGTGGTTATGAGTCAGAAAAGGCCCTCCTAAGGTACAGCAGCGTTATCTCTACCGGGGAACTCATTGTCCAAGTTTTAAATCAGCCAGAGAGTTGGTACATAATGGTCTCCAGTTTGGGAGCTGGGTATTGATGAATCCTTTATACTATATCAGCCTAGTAGGTCTACGCTGTGGCATTAATACTAGCCTTATTAAGTTCTAGACAGATGTGGATCTATGCCGGCCTGGATTCATAACCAAAATCCACCTAACTGATATGCATCCATTTTCTGTCCCCCTTTCAGAAGTCAGGCATGAAAGCTCTTACAGAGCACAGACGCGGTGGTTTCTATTACCAGAGTTGTATGTGCACAGAGCCATGAGCAGAACCTGGCCCAACATCATGAGACCATAAAGCCTGACATGTGCTTTAATTCACAGCTCCCGTCTCATCAAACACATGAATGTTGATGCTTGACTTCCTGACAGATGGTGCAAACTCCTTCTCCAATCTTCAGATAATTGCTCTCGGTTACAGTGCAATCACATTCATCTCTCCTACATCCTTCTGGATCTTTTAAATCAAGCTGAGATGCCCTCAAGTTGCTGACGCTTTAATCACCACTCCTTGTTTCTGATTTCAAGCAAGCTCTAGGGAATATGTATTGATGTCCAAGTCCACAAAAAGCTTTGAAAAGATCTAAGAAGTCTCAGAAAGTCTTGTTAGAAGTGATGAGGAGCCTTTTTTTACATGTTTCTGAGCCCATTCCTGCAGCCCCATGTTCACAACATCAGTCCAACTGGACTAGTTCTTCCCCAGACCAGATCAGGATCAACTCCAGGAGGACTAAGTTAATATATTGAGCCAGCAGTGTCACATCTTTCTGCTGAAACCGATCTTCACAGTAGAGAACTCACAACTGCTCACAACTCATATAGCTCAAGCAGCAGAGGTTCCTGTTTCGATACCTCAGCTCAAACTCTGCTGCCGGCACAGACTGGTGGCCACACGTATGAGCCGTGCATGCACACACGCACACAGAGCGTGTGTCACGTACGCAGCAACAATACAGCATTTTTATCAACTCAGGTTTTTTGCAAGTGTATTTGTAAAGGTAAAGGCGAAGGCAACTAAGTAAGCGGAGACAGGCACCTTGTGTGTAAAATGTGGGCAAACCTACCCGACACACCCTGTCCCTAAGCTAACGAGCGATATTTGATGAGCACGTCAGGTATTTCATACCCTTCATTCCACCAAGCCAGCCCTTGCCTGAAGAGCAAGCTGATGGCTGTCAGTTATAACCAACCTTAGCTTAGGATTGCATTTTTTTTAGCAGCAACTGTTGCTTTCAGTCACTGAGTATCCCAAGGACAATTGCTATGCTACACCCATGCCAGGCACATCTGTGGCATGAGAGAACAAATATTTCATTAGAAATTGTAATCATTAGGACGGATTTATTTTTTAAAAATTAGATGACTAAGGAAGGATAGTCTCTCCAGGGTCCTGCAGTTCAAGGTTATTAGGGTAACTCATTACCATAAAGACAGATTACTTCCCTGCCCTAAGACCATCCCCTGACTGTGCAGCGCTTCTTAGCACTCTGGAAACTTTATGGTGACCCTAGCTAAGGTTTTGTTAACAGACTGTAACTCAATCCTTGTTCATTAAAAAATTCATGGATATACGGAGTTACTTAGCAGATACCAGTTTTCTTTGTCTGAGCCATGGGATGTTTTGTCATAGGAGTTACAGGTGAGATTCACCTAAGCTACACACGGTCATCAAAAAGTTAGGTATCCAGTCTCAGGCAATCACGCAGGCTTCCTCTGTACTTGATGTTCAGACAAAGGTAGCTCCAGAAAACTTTTAAAATCCATCTTAGACAGCTCTGATCAGACAGTATAAATCAGATGGTATAAATTGCCTTTTGGGGGTACGTTTCACGCTGCATGAATCAGTTTGGATAGAGCCTGGTTGGCTCTTCTAGACCAATTTTCCAACGGGTAAAGTCAGGGACTATGAATTACACTCAAAGCGAAATTGCATAATGTCGGATTCTCAACCAAAGAGAACTGGAGGCAGAATGCAGAATGAATACCTGAGCAAACACCGGTTGCAAACTGGAAGCAGTCCCTCTAGCTCAGTAAACCCTGTAGCAATCCCTCGAGACCAGTGCTAGATTAATCAGCTCTGATGAGTTTTTAGTTTGCTGATGGACAGCATCATGGTAACATGGATGTACTGCTACAGGTGACAAGCACTCAGTTGTTACTTCTCTTGAATTGCATTGCACTGCAGCAGGTAGACACACCACGAGGAGCTTTCAGTAGAGTTTCAATTTCTAACTTAGGACTGAGTTAAAAATTAGGCTCCAGACATGAGCCAGAAAACCACTTTTAGAAGAAAGGCTCCCACCAGGCTATGCAAATTGAATCAGTTGAATTTCACAGGTATTGAATTTCACAGATAAATTCTTGTGTCATTTTATACTCTGGCTCCATCCTGGACTGGAACGCATCAGTGACAAGCATTTCTGTTCTGGGTTTGACCTGACAGCCACGTGCTTTAGCATGTGCTTTATGCTGACGGGCATGTGCCATGAACTAATGGCTTCGCTTACAGTACCGCAGGGAGATGTCTCAGAGATCACAGTGTCCTTTGGGAATAGCAGGAGATGCTTAACTCTCAAAATCAGCAGTTAAACTTGTCAAAGGAGGACACAGGGCTTTCACAGTAAGATTTTAGGACCACCTTGGTCAGGAGGTTCAAAGACGATGTATATGCTGAGGCAATCCCTGAGCTAAAAGAATAAAGGCCAGATGTGGCTCTCAGCCTGTTCAGCCAGAGGGGTGTTTGAGTCTTGACTCCAACCCGAGTAAAAGCTTGTGCTTACTTGAATACATAACAGCATCGTTATATTATTTACCCATATTGTGGATTTGCATAGGGATCACAATAGGGGTCAGTCTCTGAAATAGCACTGTGTAATCTTGGCCCAAAAAACTGGCAATCTACAAGGTAAGACACGTATAATGAACCGAGTCCTGAGTTTCTAACACAGACTCTGATCCCACACTTGCATCCCGAACTTACCTGAGACTTTTAAATCGAAAATAAGAGTGTCATCTCCAATTTTGCATGTGTATGTTCCTTCATCTTCTTTCGTCACAGCTGAAGCCACAAGCTTATGCAGTTTTCCTTTATCTTCCATGGTGAATTTCTTGCTGGCTGTGATTTCTTTGCCATCTTTGTACCACTTAACCATGATGTTGGCCTCAGAGGTCTCAGAAACAAATTCAGCCTGTTTTCCAGAGACAGCCCTGATAACTCCTCCGGTTTTCTCTTTGTTTATGAAGCTTGCAAGTGCTGAAAAAAATATAGACACACAGCACTGGTAAAGAATTGTGTGGACATCAGTAAATATATACAACACTTGCATCTACATTAGGTGTTAATTTATCATAATACCAAATATGCATGTTTAATTATGGATCAAACTACTAGATTCTAATGCAGAAACAGCCAAAATCCAGCCTTTATAAACCATATACCTGATTATCATACATCCAAAAACCAGAGCACATACAACGCAGGAGGCTGAGCCAATGGGAGAGGAAGTCCTAGGCAACAGGGCTTTAAGAAAATACCGGGGAGAGGTGAGGAAAGATACGACACAAGCAGATGGGAGGGAAAGCAATGAAGGTTATTCAATCATTGTATTGTAACCACCTGGCAAATAAATCGACTCTAAAAGAGGTTAAAATGTAATCTAGATAAATTAAATTATATTACATTAAAAATCTACACAGATATCACATAGGACTGAAATGAAAAGAAATTTCTTCCTGGAAATTAACTGGAGCATAGAAGGTAAATAATAAATCTGGCACCATATTAACATATAGCGGAATAATTGAGTCACCAATTACCTCAACGCAAAGATTCAAAAACCCACCAACATCTTAGCTAAAAATATGAGCCTAAAACCACAGTCCCATTTTACCCTAGATAATGGAATTAATTCTCAAACATCTTCTTAACATATTACTTTAAAACAACACACACAATCAAGTCACTTTGTTGGGACTGATTGTAGTGCTACTTTAGTAGCTACTAAAAATACTAAAATCAAAGCCTTGATCGTGTACGCATTTCTTCCTTAATTTCAAGAACATGCTTGCACAATACAAGCTAACAACTCTCTGCAGAATGCCTGGCAAAAGGAGTTATTAGCTTTCACTGCTGATACTGCGACAAGCAGTTACGGTCCATGGTCTGGACCAGCTAAGCATGACTCTCTCAGAATTTTGCTCCAAAAGCGTTATTATCGGTGCTACGTCCCAGTGCAACACATAGGGGTTCTCCTTTAACTCAAAGACCCTTTCCACAAGGATGGAGTTTGCATTTAGTTTCCTTGCTTTCAAGTACATTAGATTTCTTCAAGTCTGTGGTAGTGCTTTTAATTACAGACAAATATTGGGTAGGGAACCAATATTCACCAGCTTGTACAGTGGCAGAGCCTGGAGACCTAAAAATGAAGAGTGACTTGACTTGCCAAGCAGTACACAAAGAAAGAAAAAGAAAAACCCAGTCCCAAATCTCCCCCAGTGTAAGACTAAGAAACACCCAACGAGCAAATAAACAGGGAAAAGGAAGGGAAGGACGTGACGGTGCAGCCAAGGGCCTCTCCAGTTCTGGTCCTCAAGGGACTCTGTTCCATCACCAGCTTCTGGCAGGGACAGGAGCTTGCATTTTACCTCTCCAGGTCCCGACCAGCCCTGTTTTCTAGGGTTTACCAAGTCTGTTTATTAGAAGTAATATCTATAGGTAAAGTCTTACCAGAAGCATTTAAACCAGGGAAAGCTTCCTTTTTTCCTGTTTTTTCTTGGGGCCCCTCTTTCCACTTGTTTCTCTAATGACTCGTAACGGTGGAGCTTTCCTTTCAGTAGGACAACACCGCAGCCCTTCTCCTCTACCCAGCCACCTACGCCCATGAAGCCTGCAGGGGCCAAACGCTGCTGAGACCTCTCCTTCTCCACCAGCATTACTGAAACTCAGCCCGCAGGTTAAAAGGTTTGGGAGGAAGAAGAGGGAGATGGGTTCATTCATGCACCTTCCAATTCCTTAGAAAACCAGAGTGGAAAATACAGCCACGGCAGTCCGAAGGAGACTTCTCAGATGTCCCGTTTCAACACGGGCGGTCATGTGTCAGAGGACGCCTGGCACGTGAAGTCTCATGGCAGTGGAAGGACTGCAGTGATAAATGGCAAGTGCATTTTCTAGCAGGGCTCTTTTGGGCAGGAGGCCCAGCGAGTGACACGCCTCTGGCCATGGCTCAGCACGGTGGCCTCTTGGCAGCCACGTGATGCTCATGTGCCAGACACAGCTGACCTGCACATCAAATGATTCACCAGCTAGCTGTGTTTGATTTACAGGAGAAACAGATAAAAGGTGGCGATGCTGAAAGGTAAAATACTGGGACAGCATTTGTAAGCCTCATCCTACAAGGATGAGATATATGAAAGCTGATTCTCCAGGAATCAAGCTACAGACAACAGATGTTTAAGTTACAGCTTGTCAACACAGATTTTAAAATAATAGCATTGATTACTCATTTGATAGTCACATTACGGTGAAAAGCACATGGCAATGTCCATCAGCTAATTCAATTAAATCTGTGGGTAGATCTGCCAGTGTGAAAAATCATGCTAAAGAGGCAGACAGAAAGAGAAGAAAACCAAAATTAAGAACAGCTGCCAAGCGCAGACAGCAAATTCCTCCCTCCATAAATGTAGTCACATTTTTAAATTATTTTTTTCAGCTCTCTTCGTGCCTCTTGAGTTTGCTCTTTGAGAATAACCAAGCAAGTAAGTTGTCAAATGCAAAACACATACATTACTCTGGGGCTTTGCTGTCTCTACAGAGAACAAGAAGGGCAAGAAGCCAGTGGAATAAGATGATGAAGCACCTCATACGTACTCCGTGTAGAAGCAGTGTGATCATTGCTGGGAAGGTGGTGAGGGGTGAGTTACGGGACAGAACACAGAAATCAAATGGCTTTGCAAAGTGAACGTGCCAGTTCAGAGCAAAATAGCTACGGAGCTCACCCCAGACAATGTCTGACAACAGGCTAGACTGTCTTGGAGTCAGGTTTTGTACTCTGAACCTCAGTAGACATCTAGATGATACCCATGAGGAATGATCTGGGGATACACTGGGGCTTTTCAGCCAAAACCTGGTCCCACTCAAGGCAGAGGAAACTCTCCTATGAACTAGTTCATAAAAGCTTGCACGGATGGAAAGGCTTGTAAGACGGAGGCTGAATGCTGTTGGTTTCAGGGTAAAGGTTCAAGACTCCACGTCTTGCTCTGGGCGTGGATGTGCCCACCAGCAAGGTAGCAGGCAATCAGGAGGGAAGGGGCTGCCATGAAAACAAGAACAGTCAAACAATGGGGCAGCTATAAAACAGTACTGGTTCAAATCTAAAACGGGAAATATTAAAAGAAAATGATGTTTTGCTGTTTGTTCTACGCTGCCCTCCATCTGAATACCTTGCAAATAGAAATGAGTCAAGCCATCCAGTGTGCCCTGGAAAGGTCTGTTCTTACTCACCAGGGTATTGACAGAAAACAAAAAACAACAAAATAACAAAAGAACCCCACAATGCCAAGATGATCTTGGTCCATCAGAACTTTAATCAGAGCTGAACTAGCTCCCTAGTGACTTGTCTGATATCACATAGCAAGTTTAGGGCAGACATGGGATCACATGCATCATGTCCTGCCCCTGTGGGTGAATTTCTTCATCACAAGAGCACCTTTTCGCTACCCACCATTCAGTCTCATGAAGTAACAACACGTCAATTTGAGTGAAAGCACAGCTCTTACCACTGAGACAGTGTTAGATCCCAAATTTAGTCCCAAGTTCTCCTACTCTGGGACTACAGACACTGTCAACTCTCGACTTTGATGGGGAGTTACCACAACTCCCTGCACCGCCTCTGGAGCGCTCCCTTTCTGTCCCTTGATGACTCTATTGGCTTAGGGCAGGAGCGGGCTATTAATACAGAGCAGCCCAGGCAGTCACATACCTTTCACTGAAAGCTGATAGAGCATTTTATCCCCTTCACAAATGCACTCATAAACTCCAGCATCCTCTGCTGCAGTGTTGCGAATTTTCAGGATGTGCCTCTTCCCCACAGTTTGAAGCTCATATTTTTCACTGGCCTTGAGCTCTTTCCCATCCTTCATCCACTTCACAGTAGCCTCTGTGTCCGAAAGCTCAGCCTGAAGTTTGGCCTCCTCCCGCAGCCGAGCGGAGACCTTTTCTATATCTCTGCTCTTGTTGGTAAATCTCACTGCAGCACCTGTCAGGAGCAAAGGCCTTGTTATTTCAAGTTATATCAGGTTAACGTGTCCCTGATATGTGTCTGCTGTAGACCGTGACATCTTTGAAAAAGTATTAGGTCCTGTTCCTGCCCTCACACTCACATCAATACCAAGCAATTTTTTCTAGTTCAGGAGACCCAATCTGGTTTTACCGCCAGAGTCACTAAGAAAAAAAACATGCACAAATGTCTAATGATTAATAATATTCTAAACACGCTTCTGCAGAGATTTTCACCCAAAGTCAAACACATCCTTCCAGAATGAATAGATATTCATTACCTTTTGCCATACAATGTGGGTAGATACAGATCTTACCGTCATTTCATAGAGGAAAGCTGAAGCACCCAGCTCTCACTGCTAAATCGAGTTACATGATACTAACTTGTACATCACACACGTCTGTGGTAGACTAAAAAACCTCCAAGAGAAAAACTTTGTTAATAATTAATGCTCCTTGACTTTTGAAAGACTCCACTACAGTCAGAAAGACTAGCCAAACCTGGAGCTGAAATTACTGGTCTAAGGTGACTCAGTGGTAGATCTGGTGACAGAATCCACTCAGTGATGGTTGTAAACTACAGAAATTTGTGAGCTGATGTTAAGCAGTCCAGTTCAGATACCAAGCAGCTGTCTAGATCCACAGATTCACTCTGAACTCTGTGCTATCATGGTTAGGTCATTACCAGGACACACATTAGGTCATATGATGCAATTTCAGGTACTTCCTACAGTCCAGGCATCAGTGAAAGCCTCCAGACCCGGCTCTAATCATCAGGTCACAGCAGCTGCCCCTTGACTGGAAGAAGAAAGGACGGTGGTCAAAGTAAATACCTTTCACTCTCATCTTGGTGCTGGTGTCAACATTATTGGCAACAAATTTCACTTCTGCTCCATCATCATTCTTGATGACATTCTTTACGATTAGGGTATGAGTAGTTTGGGTTCTCTTAATGATGTAGGTCTCACTTTCCTGTAAGGCTTTACCATTAAGGTACCAAGTGCCGGAACATGTCGTCGTGAGGTCAATGGTAAACAGAGCGTCCCCTCCAGGTACAGCTTCAACAGTTGTCAGGGGGGTTTTCACAGCTGGGACTGGTTCTGGGATAGAAGAACAACATGTATCTGAGACCAAAGGACGCAAGACTGCCACGCTGGAGAATAGTCCTTCCTAAGAACAAAGCTCTTGGGGTAAACAAGACATGAGAATAAAATCCTGCAGCCTTATACAATTTGCATGCACTGAAGGCAATGCACGGTTGGTCAACAGGATTTGATTTCTACAGCTGCAGGTAACTGACCTCTGGCATTAGGGCAAGTCCTTTTTCTGCAGGGAAAGAACAACAGGCATATTTTACTTATTTTTTCCCCTAAGATGTTTAAAGGCATAACAAGCCTGAACCACCAATGAATCAAAGGAAGAAGCAATCCCATTGCTCACAATAATTCTACGGGCACATTGGCACCCTAGAAATAAAGTAAACCCCCCATATTTCTCCTAGTAACTCTACGATTAAAGAGAGTGATGATCACCCATAAATATTCTCTAGGTGCAAGTTTGATATCTCATTTATATACTGAAAATTATATTATAAGCCCACCTCAATTTTTCCTTTCATACCGGGTCTAGAAGAAGCGTTTACAGGCTTAAGGTCCATTGCAGAGACCTCTGCCTCTCACGCAGCCTGATGTGAGCTATCGGAATATAAGCATACTCGCAGCTTTATCACAGAAACCCAACCACCATCACGTTGGCAATGGTCAGTGGTTGAAACGAGAAAGGTTTTGCTATGCTATTGCTCTATCCCCCTCAAAGTCATGGGATACATCTTGAGAGCACCCACGTGGCAGATCAGCACAGACTGACCCATTTTATGACGGTTTTGTGCTCACCGAGGTGCACGCTCCCTGGGAACTCCAGGTAGGGGCTCTGTCCGTAGGCGTTGACTGCAGACACCCTGAACTGATAGTCAGCCTCTTCCGACAGGTTGCTCACCGTGAACTCTGGGGCAGGGACATGAGACTCATGGCACCTCACCCAGGCAAAGCCAGTTAGTTTCTTGCGTTCCACAACGTAGCCATCGATTGGAATGGGGCGGTCCATCTTTGGAGGGGACCATGCTAGCATCACTGAGGTTTCTGTTTTATTTTTCACCACAGGGTCGGCTGGGGGTTGGGTGGGAGGGTTTTTAGGAGCTGCACGACAGGGGGGGGGG